GAAGCAAAAAATTTTGGTTGCAAGTGAATTCTGATTTCAGATTCTCAAGGATTTCTTTTTTTCCAAAAGCATGGTGTTTTTTATTTTTTACAGTTTATGATTGGTTTTGCTTTTTTTCAGGACCACCTGGTCCACCAGGAGCAGTTGGTGAAAATGGTCCACCAGGACCCCCTGGATTCAAAGGCGATCCCGGATTTGACGGACCACCCGGTAATCCCGGACAACCAGGTACATAGACGCTTCAGTTTTGCATATTTACCATTTCCTTACCAACTGAACAGCATCTCAGTGCTCACTTCTAATTAACACCGCCTTTTAAGTTTCTGTTTTTTCCCAAGAATATGAGGACTCCCTAGGCAGTGTGTTGTTATCTCATGTTAATTGTGTTTCTGAGACGCTCCGGTGCGTTGGGGCAGTTATGCCAAGTCCTTCGATTTCAGACTTCATATATCCAGTTAGCACCTATCACCTGTTCGATGTATGTGCGCCCCTTCTTCGGTAGCTGCTCGAATGTTGGCCTTCTTTTTCGTGGATACCATTAATACACTAACATACAGCTTTCACCAGTTGTCGGTAAGGTAAACGGCAGGTTCTCCACGTAAATTCAATAATCTCACGCTGGAGTAATCTCCCTCAGAAATTTTCCATCAGAAAACGAAAAAAATGTATTTCAGGAGAAACAGGTGCGGTTGGCAAAAATGGCGAGAAAGGACCAGCGGGACGAGATGGAATAAAAGGTACCAAAGGAGAACAGGGCCCACCGGGACCCAAAGGACCACTTGGACCTCAAGGATTTCCAGGACCAGATGGATCGGACGGGAACCAAGGTTTCACTGGTCCCCAGGGACCAATGGGTCCTCCGGGTGAACCGGGACCGGATGGTCCACCTGGTTTCGCTGGTCTAACGGGTCCGGTGGGAAAACCTGGCGAGGATGCTTCCTATTGCTCATGCCCACCGAGGCGTACGAAAACTACCGTGTGATTTTACCGGTGCAACGACATCCACAAAGAACTCGCTGTATACTGCTTTACATCGTTGCAATTCTTCCTTGTTCTTCTAATGGAATGATGCTCCCCCCGGGTTATTTCAACCTGCTCAACTTATCGATGAGGTT